TAAAACCCATTACAAACGAGGCATTTGTTGCATCCAGTGGGGACATAATTATGTATTATAATGACTTATACTGTCTTTTTACACGTTGCGTTGCATTGCGCCGTTAAACAGTCCTCCATAAAATGTGCCGGTGATCCACAGCACTAAGTTGATGTATTTCCTCAGCGACCAGCACTGATCAGCTCTAGGCATGACGAAGCGGATATCGTCCTCTTTTGGAAGACCAAACAAAGTAGTTTCGCTTTCACAACGAAACACAGCGCCTTCATGAATAAAAGTTACGCCTTCTTTCTTTGCTTGAACATTTGGGCGGTGTTATGCAAATCTTCGCACATCGTGACGTAGACATGTGGGGGCGTGTTAGAACGAGCCGTTTTAGGTAGGTGTGGTTGACTCTTAACTTTTATAAAGAATATCTCTTTGGATTTGAGACTTTAGTCTTTGCAACTTTACAGATCTTCTTTATGCACCAAGAGCTTGTAACACTCCAAAGAGAAAGGAGAAATTGAAATCGCATCATATAACCCCTTTAATTCATTTTAGGATTAATCTAGAATTTGTCTCCCTTCACAGAGTAGTTTTGTTGTTGACAGTTTATGAGAGTTTTTCTCTCTCATTTTCTGTGATAGCCTGTCAGTTGTAAAAGTTTGCACCAAAGAGCATGAGATCTGCCATCATATAACCCATGTGGCATATCCACGCATTACATCAGCTGGACAGGGGCCTGAGAGTCATTCAGTCAGTCCACACTGGCCCTCAAAAGCCTCGGGCAACAGACAGACTCACACACACACACACACACACACACACACACACACTCGACTCAGCTCTAGTGAACAATCGCTGAGCGCGTCATGTCAGGACTCCTGGGATACTTATTTTTACATCACTATTGATTTATCTGCATTTGTCTTTCAGCTCTAAAGCTAGAAACTGCTTCAAATGCATGATGCAAACAAATGGTCCAGATGTGCATGCCTCTGTAAACGAGCATGTTTTTGTCAGATAAATCAGTCCGCTGATATTTCCGTGCGCTAAATGCAGCGCGCTCAGAAATGTGCAGGTGACACAGACTTCCAGCTGCTATTATCTCTCACCTTTCAGTTGTTTACATCAGTCTGTGATTGGCGTCATGTACTGTATGTATGTGAGCAGCATGTGTTACTGTGTGTTAATTATAGCTCTCCCTCCCCGCCTGAAATAAAACCGGTTTATGTTCGGTGACCTTAACTGTAATGTCTCAATGAGTGTCTTCATGACGCTGCTTAGTTTGCCAGACTATCTGTTTAATTTAAAGTAGTTAAACTGCAGTCTGGGATTAGAGTTGTTCACTTATTGTTTAGTCTTTGCAACTTTACAGATCTTCTTTATGCACCAAGAGCTTATAACACTCTAAAGAGAAAGGAAAAAATGAAATCGCATCATATGACCCCTTTAAAGTAGTTAAACTGCAGTCTGGGATTAGAGTTGTTCACTTATTGATCTGTTGATTGGTAAAATATTTTAGTTTAATAAATAAACCCTGACGGGGTGATCAGTAGTAGGTCTTGTGTTAATCTGAGGGGGTTTATTTTGCAATAATGCCTGATTGGCTGTAAATTATCCCTTAGATACCTATACTGAAGCTATTTAAGGAGGGAAATGTTTTTTTATATATAACTATCCAATTATGTGATGTATTATTATATACAATAAGAGCAATATCTATCAGGCACAACAAGGTGTCAAAGTTGACACTAAATGCCTCTAAATAACTGTCGGTGAATCTGTGATTTTTGCATGCATGTAGTTTCATAAAAAATATAAGGTTTTAGTGATGAATTATGATTACTGAATGCACAAATAATTGTGTACGTTCTGTTATAGGCCCACTGTATTCATTCTATCTGCATATATGTGCTGTTTGTCAAATCATACATGAAATCATATCTGTTTTAATTTAAAAATTAGTAAATACTAGTGATCAAACAATATGTTTTCAGTGCCCAATGTTTATTTAATGCTGATTTTATATAATATTATAATATATATATATATATATATA